CTGACTGTCCTTGTCCCTCCTCTACCCACAGCTGGATTATCACCGGGGCCTCTTGGTGGACCGTCCCTCTGAAACTAAGACAGAGGAGCAGGGGGTACCACGGCCCCTGCACCCCCCGCCCCCACCCCCAGCACAGCCACCACAGCACCCCCGGGCAGAGCAGCGGGAGCAGGAGCGGGCGGTGCGGGAACAGTGGGCAGAGCGGGAACGGGAAATGGAGCGGCGGGAGCGAACTCGATCAGAGCGTGAATGGGATCGGGACAAAGTTCGAGAAGGTCCCCGTTCCCGATCACGGTCCCGTGACCGCCGCCGCAAGGAACGTGCGAAGTCTAAAGAAAAGAAGAGTGAGAAGAAAGGTACTTAGCTGTGGGGACACACGCACCTGTTAGTAGGTGGGAAAGGAACCCAAATGGGATGGGACACACAGGGTCATAGGGCATAAGGTCTGACTCACTTTCTTCCACCTCAGAGAAAGCTCAGGAGGAACCGCCTGCCAAGCTGCTGGACGACCTTTTCCGTAAGACCAAGGCAGCTCCCTGCATCTATTGGCTCCCGCTGACTGACAGCCAGGTGAGTGCTCACTTCATGCTCCACTCTGAGTAGCAGCCAGGCTTGACAGCAGTGCAAGGGGGAGAGTCACTTGACTACTGGTGTGAGAAGGCCCAGGTATTGGCTTAGGATAAGGGAAGAAACTAAGCATCACGGAAAGGCAGTTTTAAGAACCAGCTGACGGTACACCATAGAGAAGCCAAACCCAAGAGTGCCAAGGTCAACACAAAGACAGGAACTGGGTTTGTGTGTCTAGGAAGCTGTCTGTGCCAACCATCCTTCTCGGAAATTGATTTCAGTTAGCTGAGAAACCATTTCTCTGCTTTTTTATTTCTAGGATATTTTGCCTTTTTTTTTTTTTCCCAATTTTTATTTATTTGGTGAGTAATCTACACCAAATGTGGGGCTCGAACTCACAACCCCAAGGTCAAGAATTGCATGCTCTTCCAACTGAGCCAGCCAGGCACCCCTAGGATTTTTTGCTTTTTAAATTTAAGTTTCTTCGTAATGGGCCTTTTTGGGAATTTGAGGCTGATGTACTCGGCTAAAGGGAAAAGTGGTTTGTTCACGTCTTAAGTAGCTGGGGAAATACCAGAGGCAAGGCATGGATGGTGCCCCTGCCTGTTGAGGGTATAAAAGGCGAACACCTGGAGGGATTGCGACCCGGAGACAAAGACAGCTGTGATTGCTGACAACCCCCTTCCTGCTTAACAGCAAAGCTGGTGATGATCCTGAGCTAGGGCAGGGCCCAGGGAAATACAGACAAGGCGGGACTGGCGTGCGTGGGGCTGAGATGCCTCTTCCCTGCCTTTGCTGCCTGCTGCAGATTGTTCAGAAGGAGGCTGAGCGGGCTGAACGGGCCAAGGAGCGGGAGAAGCGGCGAAAGGAGCAAGAAGAGGAAGAGCAAAAGGAGCGGGAGAAGGAAGCAGAACGGGAACGGAACCGACAGCTGGAGCGGGAGAAGCGTCGAGAGCACAGCCGAGAGAGGGACAGGGAGAGAGAGAGGGAAAGGGAGCGTGACAGGGGTGATCGGGAGAGGGAGAGGGAGAGGGACCGGGAGCGAGGCAGGGAGAGGGACCGCAGAGACACCAAGCGCCACAGCAGGAGCCGGAGTCGGAGCACGCCTGTGCGGGACCGGGGTGGGCGCCGCTAGCCGGGAACGCATGAGCGAGAGCTGCAGGCATCAGCCACCCTGCCCTGGGGGGTTCGAGGCCACAGAGGGATAGGTACAATCTCCACCGCCCTAGAACCAGGGGTCTTTCACACCATTTACCCAGTGCTCAAGTATGGCTGCCACCTGTCCCCACATACCAAATGGAGCCGTGGCCGTCTTTCCCCCCAGAGCCCCACCCCCATAACCTATCTCTTGGGAGTTAGCCCTCTCCTCACTCTCCTTTCCCACTGTTGAGTCTGAGAGGGAAGAGCTAGGTTAGGGAGGGAGGTGGTTGGCCCAGAGGTGGGGAACAACCAAGAGCCCCAGACCTCTCATTTTTCCTCCATCCTGCTCACCACCTCCTTTGGGTACTCACAACCCCCTCTTGGGAACAGCCGGGGCCAGGACTGGGTCACCTATGAGCTGAATCAGCATCTCCTCCTGAGTCCCAGGGCCCCTGCAGTTCCCAGTCTCTTCTGTCCTGCAGCCCTTGCCTTCTGCCCACCGGTTCCACTTTATATCCACCTTTTCCTTTTGTTCAATTTTTATTTTTATTTTTTTTATTATTAAATGATGTGGTCTATGGAAAATAATAAAAATCTGACTTAGTTTTAACTAGTGTGTGACTGGCTTTCCTTGGGCAGGGCCTGGGGGAGAGCCAAGCAGTTGAAGACGGCTGTAGCACGGAGGCACCATTGCCTGCACTCCATACACTTGTTTAGGCAGGCTGCTGCTTCCTGGAGCAGGGACTTCCCGCCCTCCATCTCTGTCTTGGCTCTACCCACGTCACCACGGAGCATCGTCCTCACTGGAGGCCAGAGGGGAAGACCCCTGGGAAGAGGAGGGTCCCTGTCCCGGTTCCCAGTCCCGCGTTAGAGGCGTTGGGTCACCTGCTCGCCACCTTCAAGGCGCCTCCCGCAGCGGCCGCCAGGGGGCGGCAGCCGCTCACTCAGTGGGCGCCTGTAAATGAGCTTCCCAAAAAGGCTCCACTCCCCACCGCCGTCCTCTCCCGCTGCTGTTGTGCCTCGGTCCCTGACCTGCTCCCTGGGCCCAGCCCGCGGACTCCCTGGGCCCTTCTGCCGGCCTTAAGCGCTCCCCAGTCGGCCGGCTGTGGTGCCTCGCACCGGCTCCCCAGATGCCGCCTCCCTGCGGCCGGGGTTCACAGCAGCCCCAGAGGCCGCTCCGGGAGCGGGAGCCGGAGCCGGGCCTCTCCGCAGCCGGCTCCTAATTCCCCGCCTCGCCGCGCGCTCGGCCTTCGCCCAGCGGCGTGGGGGCGTGCGGGGCCGCTCGGCGCTCCCGCCTGCACCGTCCCCGCCAACCCTTCGGAGACGGCCTGGCGCCGGGGCCTGGACGTCCTCCCGCCCGAGTGCCCCGCCGGGCGCTGCGGGCCCTGCCCGGGAGGGGCGCCGCATCTGTATGCGCCCGGCGGCCCGGCAGCGCCGCCCCCGCCCCCGCCGCGCGGGCCCGGGCTGGCCGGGGAGGGTCGGAGGCTGGGCTCTCTCCCGCGCGCCGCGGAGCCGCCTCGCTCCTCCGCAGGCGGAGCCTCCTTCCCCCGCCCCCTCTGTCTCGCTCCCTTGTTCTCGCCGGGGCCGCTCAGACCTGCAGCGGAGCCGCGGCGCCCGCTCCGATCGGCTCGGGGCTGCGCCCCCGGGACCCGGCGACGGGGGCGGGCGGGGACGCTCCCCGCCGGCCTGGGCCCCTCGGCACTGCCAGGTAAGGGCGCCTGCCCCGGAGCCCGGGGTCGGGAACCCGCGGAGGGGCAGCAGGGGGCCCGCAGCCTGCGGGTGTCTTCAGAGCGGTGCGCTCCGAGGCTAGGAGCCCACTGCCGGCTCCCTTCTCCCGCGCTCTACCTCTTCCCCTCTTCCCTCGCACCTCTCTTCCTCCTTTCCCCATTTTCCTCTCCCTCGGTTTCTCTTCACCCTGCCTTCTCTCTGCCTGTTTGCCTCCTCGGCCCCTTCCCTCTCCCTCTTGCCCTTTCTCCACCTCCTCTTCGTCTTTGCCTTTTCCTTTCCCGACCTTTCCTTTCCTGTCTTTCCCTTTGCCTTTTCCCGCTCTCCTTTCCTTCCCCCGTCTCTTCCCTCTCACCTCCTCTTCCCTTCCCGCTATCCGGTTTCCCACTCCTCCAGCCCTTTCCTTCTCCTCCTCTTCCCGCCTCCCGCTCCGGTCCCCGGCTTCCCTCCGGCTTCCCTCTCCCCTCGCGAGGGAAAGGACTGGCAGGTGTGTGTCTGCGCTGGGGGAGGAGGGGTGGCAGCCACAGCTACCTGAGGGGGTACCCCCCCCCGCAGGAGGAAAGGGAGGAGACAGCAATGGGAAGGGTCCTCTCTCCAGCTCCCTTCCCGAAGCCCCTCCAGGCTGCCCCCTCTCTCAGACTGAAGTTCCCCGAGGCCTGCTCTGACCCCCGCAGCTGAGGGCTGCCCCCCGCCTGCCCATCACTCCCAGCAAGCCCCTCTGCCCCCCTCCTACCATTCCCAAGCCTGTTACCTATGACTCCTCCGCCTGTCAGACACCTAGGCTGCCTCCTTTGATCTCTTTCCTTGTGTCTCTTGCTGCCATTCTGTTCTCAGTCTGTGCCGGACAGTGCCTGAGTCTGGGTCTCACCGTCACTAACACTGAGTCTGTAGTCTCTGCTTTCCTCTCCCAGCCTCCTGGCCCTGCCCCCAGCTCTACATCCTCTTCTTTTGGCTCCGGCCCCCCGCCCCCACTCTGCCTCCTGAGCCCAGTCCCCCTTCAAGGACTTCAGCTGGCAATGTGGGCTGGGGGCAGGTTCCAGAGAGGTGGGGTTCCCTGTGTAGGAGAGACTTTCACAGGCTCTCAACCCTGTCTTAGGCTGCACGCCTTGTCATGGCTCAGCCTGACCCCAGACACCCTGACACCACACCTCCGTGAGTCCCAGCCCCTGGATTCTAAGCCCTTTCCCTGGTAGTCCCCAACTCCTCCAGCCCCCTGGCTGCATACCCAACCTGGGAGAAGAGGGGCCAGATCTGGGGTTCCAAACCTTCCCCGAATCCCCCCTCCTGTTTTCTTCCCCAGCTTCTCTACTCAGAGTTGACTGGCCAGAGATGTATCAGCTTGTAGGGCTGGAGGTGAATACAGGCAGAGCCTGGGTGGAGGGAAGGATCAGACTGTCTGCTCTGTCTCAGTCTGGGTTCTGGGCAGTGGGGTGTCTGGTTCCTTGGAGGTCTGATCTTCAGTATCTAACTTTAGTTGGGGGCCGGGGAGAGTTAAGGGTTTCCTTGACCCTGAACAGCTACCTGTCCTACAGGTGTGGATCCATGGGGTAGCCCCAACGCATCTGCCCTTCTGCCCCAGCCAGCTCATGCCTCAGTACCCGGGGACAGTGAACAGAGCCCTGGCTGGAGCCCAAACATGTGGGGCCTGGTGAGGCTCCTGCTGGCCTGGCTGGGTGGCTGGGGCTGCATGGGGCGCCTGGCAGCCCCCGCCCGGGCCTGGGCAGGGTCCCGGGGGGGCCCAGGACCAGTGCTGCTGCGGAACCGAAGGAGCTGGGTGTGGAACCAGTTCTTTGTCATTGAGGAATATGCAGGTCCAGAGCCCGTCCTTATTGGTAAGGTAAGGATCAGCCCTTCCCAGGTCTGCCTTGACTCTCGAGGCCCTTAGGCCCCTGCCCTGCAACTTCATCACTTCTTCACTGACCTTGGTCCCTCAAGACTCCCAACACTCCACCCACTCATAGACTTAGACTCTTTAACCTTTCTGTCCCTATGCTTGGAACCTGCTGTCATTTTTCCCTGACCCCTACAGCTGCACTCGGATGTGGACAGGGGCGAGGGCCGCACCAAGTACCTGCTGACCGGGGAGGGGGCAGGCACTGTATTTGTGATTGATGAGGCCACAGGCAATATCCATGTCACCAAGAGCCTGGACCGGGAGGAGAAGGCACAGTACGTGCTGCTTGCCCAAGCCGTGGACCGAGCCTCAAACCGGCCTCTGGAGCCCCCGTCAGAGTTTATCATCAAGGTGCAAGACATTAATGACAACCCACCTATCTTTCCCCTCGGGCCCTACCACGCCACAGTGCCCGAGATGTCCAATGTCGGTGAGTACCCCAACTCTGACCATCCCAGATCCCGTCTCCTGGAGCACCCTCACCTCTCCTTCCCGCATTGCTCTTGTGTCTGGGTCCCCCTCATGTGCTGTTCTTTCCCACCTGGCCCTGCCCCTGCTGAGTGGGGTGCCGGGATCCCCCACAGGGACGTCAGTGATCCAGGTGACTGCTCACGATGCCGATGACCCCAGCTACGGAAATAGCGCCAAGCTGGTGTACACCGTGTTGGACGGACTGCCTTTCTTCTCTGTGGACCCCCAGACGGGTGAGGATAGCGCTCGGAGCCTGGTGGGGCAGCCAGGCGAACAGGCACCCCCTGACCCGTGTCTCTCCCTAGGAGTGGTGCGTACTGCCATCCCCAACATGGACCGGGAGACGCAGGAGGAGTTCTTGGTGGTGATTCAGGCCAAGGACATGGGTGGCCACATGGGGGGGCTGTCGGGCAGCACTACGGTGACGGTCACCCTCAGCGATGTCAACGACAACCCCCCCAAGTTCCCTCAGAGTAAGGGGCCAGTGCTGCCACCCGAGCCATCCTTTGCCTGCCCCCACCCCCTACAGCCTCTGGAGAGGCCTTCCCTCTCCAGCCCTCCCCCACCCAGACCCCAGGAGAAGGGAGTGCTGCGAGAGGGAGGAGGGCTAGGGACCTAAGATGTCTCCCCTCTGTCCCCCCTCAAGGCCTATACCAGTTCTCTGTGGTGGAGACGGCTGGGCCGGGCACCCTGGTGGGCCGGCTGCGAGCCCAGGACCCAGATCTGGGGGACAACGCCCTCATGGCGTACAGCATCCTGGACGGAGAGGGGTCCGAAGCCTTCAGCATCAGCACAGACTCCCAGGGTCGAGACGGGCTCCTCACTGTCCGCAAGGTTAGCCTCCTGTCTGCTAACACTTGCACATTCACTCGTACCTGCCTCCTGGCCCACAAGGCTCACTTCTAACTGGTCTAGAACAGACTCGGGACCACTGGGTTGGAGCTTAGAGATCATGGTCATCTTGTCCTCTTTCAGATGAGGGACTGCGGCCCAGCAAGGGGGAGAGATTGGCTCAGAACTTTTCGTGTAGCCAGTCTATGATGGAGCTGGGGGCAGACCTAGGGTCACAGACTAAGTAATCTGCCTCACCCTGACCCTGCACCCAGCCACTGCCCCTCAGTGCCCACCTCTCGTCTCAGGTGGGCTGAGCACTGGATGCGTGGGGAGGGGACCTCTCACATTCCAGGAACTTGGGCCTGCCCTGGTTCCCACGTGCCTCAGTCACTCCACCTCTTCTCCCCATAGCCCCTAGACTTCGAGACCCGACGCTCCTATTCCTTCCGCGTGGAGGCCACCAACACCCTCATCGACCCAGCCTACCTGCGGCGAGGGCCCTTCAAGGACGTGGCCTCCGTGCGCGTGGCTGTGCAGGATGCCCCAGAGCCACCTGCCTTCACCCAGGCTGCCTATCACCTGGCAGTGCCTGAGAACAAAGCTCCCGGGACGCTGGTGGGCCAGGTCTCAGCGGCAGACCTGGATTCCCCAGCCAGCCCAATCAGGTGAGCTGGGGTGTGGGCAGGGGAAGGGAAGGGCCTCAGGGAAGGAGCCCAGTGGCAGGCTCGTCCCACTGAGGATGGACCCCCTTCACCGAAAATCCCACTCACCTCCTAGCGGAGGTCTCCCTCTCTGCAGGGCTGAGGCCCAGGGAAGGCCTGGAGGACCGGGCTAGCACCCCGCCCCCTGCCAGCTCCACCTAACCCTCTGGGAAGATAGCAGTGGCGCCTCCCAGTGGTGGTGCAGGCAGATGCAGGCTCATGTGATGAGTGTGTTGCTGGATGGCGGGCTACCACTGTCGGTCACTCCCTCAGCGCTGCACATTTTTACCCACTCGGTAACATTCAGTTCTCACAACAGCCCTGTGAAGTAGGCACGATCAGCCCCAGTTGTTTTAGAGGCCAGGCCCGGACAGGTTAAGTTCCTTGTCCAAGGTCATATAGTCAGGAAGCAGCAGAGCTGGGACATGAATGCAGATTTGTCTGCCTTGAGAAGAGCCACTCTTTCCACCTTTCAGCAGCCCCGTCACAGGTATGAGGGAGGTGCTGGTGTCATTCTCATTTTGTAGCTAAGTAAACAGAGGTTAAACGATTCACCCAAGATCACACCGCTGGTCTGAGGCAGAGCAAGGCTGGGGTCCCTGGGTCCCTAGAATAGAGCCCAGAACTCAGAAAGACAGGCTGTTTACCCCCACTTCCACCTGTTTCTGTCTCTCCCCCACCATGAAACCCAGTCCCCCTGAGTCTTAGGACACCTGTTTAATGTTGGTAACTTCCCCAAGCAACTTGTCTCTTAAGGGGACCCTAATGTGAATTATGGCTCTGGGTACCTGGGGCAGGCTCAGCCCAGCGAGCCCGGGCCCTCTGCCCAGAAGAACCAAGAGGCCCAGCAAGGTGAACAGAAGGGAGGGAGAGGTAGCAGCAAGCTCTGGCCCTGCCCCTAGATCAGCCCCCGCTCCGCTCCATCTTCCCCAGATACTCCATCCTCCCCCACTCGGATCCAGAGCGCTGCTTCTCCATCGAGCCCGAAGATGGCACCATCCGCACAGTGGTGCCCCTGGACCGCGAGGCTCGCATCTGGCACAACCTCACAGTGTTGGCCACAGAGCTTGGTGAGGAGCCCTAGGCCCCCAGGAGAGGGAGAAGGCAAGCAGCCACCTGGCAGAGGAGCTGTCCCTGAGTCGGGGGGGGGGGTCACTGCCACCATGCCTCACCAGTGTACAGCACTGGCTTCCCAACCTGGGTCACCACCACCAGGCAGGCCTCCTGGTCTCTGAGGCTGGGCTGGCCTGGGCACAGTGGATCTGCCTGCGCATTCCCCTGACTTTAAATTCATTCCCATACCTGACTTTCCCCAACTGGGAAACAAACCTAATCTCAAATGGTTCCTAAGCCCTAGAAAGCCCCAATCTGTACCCTGGCAGACCCTGCCCTGCCCACTGTCCACTTCAGGCTGAAGCCAGGGACCAGGGCAGGGCTGGGCCCCTCCTCTGGAGGCTGACTGGGGGGCTCCAGCAGCCCCTCCCAGGGACACCCTGCGGAGAGCCCTCAAGGTAGGGGAGAGGGGCCAGCCCTGCCCCTGTTAGCCCCCAGTCACCAGCAGCATGCTTTGGCTGCCTGTGGGCGGCCGTGGCCCATGGAGGCGGGGAGACCTCCGTCCCCTCTGTGAACCTCCCCAATCACTCCTGCTCACGCCCCAGGGCCTCCTACATTTGCTATCTGTGTCCTGTCTATGGGAACTGTCGCTGTGTGCACAGATGTTTGTACGTGGCAGCGAAGAGCCCTATGTATGTGTACATGTGAGTGTGTACCTACGTGTGTGTATAATTCCATGTGTGTGACAATACACACATGTAGTGTGTGCGTGCGTGTGGCTGAGCGGGTAGAATGTCTGCGCGAACGTGTAATTAGGTGTGTGTAAGGGTAGGTGCGGGTACAGCTGTCGGGTATGCCGTTCGTGAATGTGAGCACTCGTGGGCAGAGAACTTACTACACGCTGTGTACCAGGTACTGTTCTAAGTACCAAATGTGGGTCCGTTAATGTAATCACCCCCACAACTTTATGAGGGCGGTAGGATTATTTCCCCATTCGACAATAAGGAAACTCAGACAAAGGGAAGTGAAGTAACTCCCCAAGCTCACGCCGACGTGACGGGGCAGAGCCGTGAGACCCCGTAAGGCTGCGGAGTCAGTCACAGCGCTTACCCCCTCCGCCACGTTGCCTCTCACGTGTGGCAGTTTATGTGTACGGGCTCATGTTTCTGTCCCTGTAGCTGTGTGTTACGTGATGTTGTATGTGTGCCTGTCCGCGTGAATGTCCCTGTGTGTATATAGTGTTTGGAGTCGCCTGTGTGTACGTAGCCAGCCATCTGTGTCGTGTGTGTGTGTGTGTGTGTGTGTGTGTGTGTGTGTGTGTCTTTCCCTTCCTGCCTTCTCACCACCCCCACCAAATCCTGCTCTCCAGCAAACCCCAAGATCAACTAGCAGGCCCTGGGCCCTTACTGCAGAGAAGGAGTGGAGCCCTGAACCCTTGGCCAGGGAGCCCACTCAGCCTCTCTTGCCCAGGCTGGGACCTCGGCCCCTTCCCTGGGGCCAGCCAGCTCCCTCCCCACCTGGGAGAGGACTAAAGAATCTGGGAGGCTCAGCCAGCAGAGGTGAGCTCCAGGGTGGGCAGGGATACCTGTTTTCCATTCTTTCTTGGATGGCATTGGCAATGAGGAGCAAGTCAGGGTAATGACTGGGAGCCACCTGATGAAGGGTTGCATGAAGAAGGGGGCCTGTGTCTGGCTGTGGCACCCAGGCTGGCCCGGCTCCCCAAGGCCAACTCTAAGTGCTACTCACTGCTATTCCATAGCCTTCCAACTGCTGATGGGGCGTGTGTGTGTGTGTGTGTGTGTGTGTGTGTGTGTGTGTGTCTGTCTGTCTGTCTGTCTGTCTGTCTCTGTCTCGCTGGTGCTGTGTATGAAAATGCATCCTCTCGACCCTGGGTGGGGGGGTGACACTGAATACACTGTGTATATCCAACACCCATTTCATGTATGTTGTATTTGTTTTAAATGCTGAGTGTACATTGAATATATGGTATGAATGTGTTTGTTTCATGACTACTGTCTGTGTGCAACCTGTATGCACCTTCTATCTACCTTTCATTTATGGTGTATGTACCGTGCATGTGGGTTATCCTGTATGTATATCATGGGTGCTCCGCCCCTGTGGAATGTGTGTTCTACACTGCACACAACTTGGCTACCACGTGAATGTTGTTGTATGCTCTCGGTGTCCCATTCGTTTCACATCACCGTTTGCTACTTGCACGTTGCATGCATATACCTCGTGTTGCATGTGTATTCTGTGCGCTACATGGGGCATCCGTGCCCACGCACCGTGTGTTGTGTGTAAACTGTTGTGTGTGCGTGGGGGGTGTATGTGTTCATGTTCTGGCTTCAGACAGCTCCGCACAGGCCTCCCGTGTGCAAGTGGCCGTCCAGATCCTGGACGAGAATGACAACGCTCCCCAGCTGGCTGAGCCCTACGACACCTTCGTGTGTGATTCTGCAGCCCCCGGCCAGGTGAGCCAAGGAGGCAGAGGGCTCAGGACCTTAAGGCCGCCAGCTGCCCACTCCATACAAGGCCTCTCTTCTTCCTCCCAGCTAATTCAGGTCATCCGGGCCCTGGACAGAGACGAGGTGGGCAACAGTAGCCGTGTCTCCCTTCAAGGTCCTCTGGGCCCCGATGCCAACTTCACTGTCCGAGACAACCGAGGTGGGTGGCCCCCCCCTGCTCTCCTCCTCCCGTCCCACCTCCTAGTCCAGCCTCACCCCTGCCCACACATCTGGACCCTCCACCCAACAGAAGGTAGATGAGGATGTGCACACATTTGCTCTTCGCCAACCTTCCCCGTTGGAAGCTGTCTCCCTGGGCTGCACCCACCCTACAGGGACGGTGTCTCAGGAGGGAGCCCGACACCTTCCCTCTCCCACAGATGGCTCCGCCAGCCTGCTGCTGCCCTCTCGCCCTGCTCCGCCCCGCCAGGCCCCCTATCTGGTTCCCATAGCACTGTGGGACTGGGGGCAGCCAGCCCTGAGCAGCACTGCCACTGTGACAGTCAGCGTGTGTCGCTGCCGGCCCGATGGCTCCGTGGCTTCCTGCCGGCCCGAGGCTCAGCTCTCACCCGCTGGGCTCAGCACTGGGGCCCTGCTTGCCATCGTCACCTGTGTGGGCACCCTGCTTGGTGAGTCGGCCCACCTTGGCATGTAGATGTGGGGTCCGAGCCTGCAGGGACTGGAGAGAGGGGCCAGGGCCCTGGACCTAGGGAACTCCACCCCGGGGCTTAAAGGACTCGGCCGTGCGGGGATTTTCCCACTCCCTTGTGTGTCCAAGAGAAGAGCTCCGGCCTCCGGCCCTGGCATTACCGGTCCGCAGTGACAGCAGCAGGCCGTAAAAACTGTTTATTGAAGCCTGACTCTGGACGGTGCGTGGTGCCCGGCGCATCACTTGTGCTATTTCGTGTCATCCTTTCAACAGCCCTAAGAGGGAAATTCGTTTTCCCGGTTTTCCACACCAGCCCTCTAAGGGTCAGAGGTTCAGAGAAGCGAAGCAACTTCCCACAGTCACACGGCGAGTGCGGGGTGAAGTCAGGCCTCAGACGAGGCCTGCCAGGGGTCAAACCCGGGTCTTGCCTTGCCTCGGCCACACTGGCTCCTCTGTCTCCCAAGCCGCGCCGCGTGCGGCTCCGGCTCCGGGGCGCCGCGGGCTCAGCGGCCTTGTGCGCCCCTCCCCCAGCGCTGGCGGTGCTCTTCGCGGCCCTGCGGCGGCAGAAGCACGAAGCGCTGATGGTGCTGGAGGAGGAGGACGTCCGCGAGAACATCATCACCTACGACGACGAGGGCGGCGGCGAAGAGGACACGGAGGCCTTCGACATCAGCGCCCTGCAGAACCCCGACGGGGCGGCCCCGCCCAACCCCGGGCCGCCGCCGGCGCGCCGCGACGTCCTGCCCCGGGCCCGGGCGCCCCGCCAGCCCCGGCCCCCCGGCCCCGCCGACGTGGCCCAGCTCCTGGCGCTGCGGCTCCGCGAGGCGGACGACGACCCCAGCGTGCCGCCCTACGACTCGGTGCAGGTGTACGGCTATGAGGGCCGCGGCTCCTCCTGCGGCTCCCTTAGCTCGCTGGGCTCCGGCAGCGAGGCGGGGGGCGCCCCGGGCCCCGCCGAGCCGCCGGACGACTGGGGGCCGCTTTTCCGCACCCTGGCCGAGCTGTACGGGGCCAAGGAGCCCCCGGCCCCCTGAGAGCAGTCCCCGGCCCTGCCCGCCGCGGGGGGGGGGGGGGGGGGGAACAGCCCGCACAGGCCCTCTGAGTGAGCCCCCACCCCCCCTGGGGTCCAGGCGGGCGGCAGCAGCCCCAGGGGAGAGCCCCCAGGCCTCCCCTTGTCCCTGTGTCCCTCTTCCCAGCTTCCCCAGGGCAACGTCCTTCTTACCTCCCTCCTCCCGAGTCGTCTGTATGTCTCCCTCCAAGGGTCTCTGTCTCTTTCTGTAACATTCTCCTGTCTGGGTCTGTATTGTGTGGTTCGACTCTGAATCTCTCTGTTCCTTCACTGTGACTCCACTCCCTCCATGACTCTGTTTTTGTCTGCCCTGTTCTAAATCTCTCACACACCCTCTCTCCGTCTCCCTTGCCCACACGCCCTGTGTCTGTCTCCTGTCCACATCTGCCTGCATTCTCTCCGGGTCCCTGTGACTGGCTTTTCAGTTTTTTCTGTTGTTGTCCATCCCAAAAGCAAGAGAAACTTCCAGCCACTGCTGCCCACCCTCCTGCGGGGGATGTTCGGCCCCAGGTCAGTGCCGCTAATTACGGGGGGGGGGGGGTGGGGGGGGGAGAGCACTGGGGCTGCCTGAAGCCCTCCCCCTCCGCTCACCGACTAGAACCGCCCTGGTCTCCTGTCTTTACAGACCTGCCCGCATGGTTCCATCCATCACTCATGGCCTCGTCCTCGCTCCACTGGCCTCCAGCAGAGAGAGGGTGCCAGCCCACCTCCCAGGGCCAGAGCTCCAGCCCCCCACATGGCCGCCTCCCTGGAGCTCTGCCTAGCTGCCCGCCTGCCCTGGGCATCCCAGCTCTGGGCATTGTCTTGTGTGTTTCCCAGGCCCCAGGGGGAGGGGAGGGGAAGGAAAGGAAAGGAAAGGGGGAGGCAGCTGGGGAAGGGGAAAAAGGGAGGAAGGGGAGGGGCCTCCATCTCTAATTTCATAATAAACAAACACTTTATTTTCTAAAGCTGGAGCCCTGTTTCCCGTTCTGCATGCAGGTTTCTATACAGAGCTTCCCTGTGCCAAAGGGCAGGAGCAGAGGCCTGACCCAACCCCGCTGGCTCCTTTCTTCTTTGGGGGTGGAGGTGGGGGGCAGTCCACTCAAGTCCCTCTAGCCCGAGGAAGGTTTGGGTTGTTTCCATTCAGGGAGTAAGTACCCCCACTGCCAACTCTCCTGTTCCTTGTTGGTCTCAAAATGTCTAAGGGAATTAAGGGGGATTGGCCAGAGGGGAGGGTGGCAAGGAGAAGTGGGGGTGAGAGCTCCTGAGAAGAGAGGGGAAGAGATAAAAGAGTAAGAAGAGAAGAGGAGTTTCAGACTAGGAAAAAACTGTGGCTGCGGGGCAGCAGAGGGAGCAAGCCGGTCCCCCCGGGGCCTGCGGTGCCAGGTGGGGAGGGTGGGCCAGGGTGAGACGGCATAGTCACGTTGATTCTGGGCCCAGTGCTGCCGCCTTTAATTCTCCCCAGGCCTGGTCTTACTATCCATGGAACACAAAGGAGGAGGGAGAGGGGCCAGGGAGGCAAGCTCTCCAGGGGCCCAGGGGCCGAATCAAAGTCAACTGGGGTGGGAGCTGAACAGAGAGCCGTCATTTCTCAGTGTGCACTCCCTGAGCCGAGAAGGGAGGTCCTAACTCCAGGCAGGGCTCCTGGTGAGAGGAGATGATGGGTCAGAACAGATCCGCCTGACGCTCCCCTCCAAGTGTGGGGTGTTGGCCATCCAGGGGAGCTACTCCAGTGGGAAGATGCCTTCTCTCACACCTTCCATGCCTGCTTGGTTAGGGCAACCAGGTGGCAGGAGAACAGGACCCTTGCCCCGGGGCTGGACTTGTCCTTTACTCTGTGAAGGATGGAACCGAAGCCCTGACTGGTGGAAGGCCTGTGCAAGAGCAGGCTGGCTGTCCCCCAAAGGAGACGATTAGGAGCCAACACCGCAAGTGTGGTGTCAGGACAGGGTTTTCCAGTTCAGGGCAGGATGGGCAAGCTCTCTGCCCCTCTGGTCTCACCCCAATATCTGCATCAAGCCTTCGGGCCTAAGTGGAGACATGGGAGGGACTGACCCATGGGCCACTCCCAGGTGGTGAGGTGTGCTCAGAAGTGGGATGCGGCCTTTACCTGCTCTCCCAGCCCTTCCGGCCCTCCCTTTCCGCTTCCTGAGGTCCGCCCCGACTGTAGTAAACTTGGAGGGAAACACAGGGCATAGGGAAACAGGCCTGTCAGCAAGACCCCTAGGCTTATCTCTGGTCTCAAATACCTCATCATCTCGAAGGACAGAACCTATCAAAGGGAGTGAAGAGGGGCAGGACCGTGAAAGGAAAGGAAAAGGGAGAGAAGGGGCAAGGTGACAGGAGAAGGAGGGCTCCCTTCCTCTTCTGCCCTGTATGTGGGTTCAGTCCTCCTTCCCCCATTTATGGGGAGGGGAAGGGGGCAGAGCATCGCAGGGGAGTGAGCTGCGGGCACTTTTGGAGCCTGGGACTGGGCTCAGGTAGCAACCCCAGGCTTGCACGCACCCACACGTGCATACCCACCTTTTCTCATTCCTAGGGCTTTAGGATCTGGGGTGTGAAGATGCAGAAGTGGGGAACAAATGAGCTCTGCCCCCACTTCCTCTCTGCTTTGGACCATTTTTGCAAAATAAGTGACAAGGCCTGGCTTTCTCTCTGAAGAGGGGCTGCTCTCCTTATCCAGGTGTTAACCCTTTCTCTTCCAGCCTCTTTCCTGTCTCTGTACACAGGAACTGCACGTGCATCATCTAGCACACTCACATACACACATCTCTACTGGGTCACTCACTTAACACCAGGACACAGATCCACAAATTTCTCTGCACTTGGGGGTGCACCCTCTTATGCCTGAGTCCATCACATACTTGAACCCTGGGCAAAAAGCTTTCCTCCTGTGCTCCTCCAGGACTAGGCTGGCCCCCGGGGGGGTCCCTGAGCTCTGCTTATCATTCCCAGAGCCCCGCACCTTCTCCCCATAGGCTGAAGAGTGGACAGGGGGTGAAGGGTTGCTGTTGAGGCCACCAACCGGATTCCAGGACCCTGACTGGAATGCTAGCCCTCCTGTAAGAGGCAGCGTTCTGCTGCTCCCCCCACCCCTTTCCTCCCTCTGCCTCCACTGCTTTCCTTCCTGAGATTCCCTGCCTTTCCTCCCTCCTCCCTGATTATGCCCTGAAGGCCAGAGCCTGGGGGTCTCCTCTGTCCCGGCCAGCTCCAGCCTGGAGGAATTCTTAGCAGGAAGTGCAATGTTGAGGCTTGGGGCTCAGAGCTGGGCTGCAGGCTGAGAGGAGGGGTGTCCAGGACAGAGGAAAGGGGGCTGCGAATCTTGGGACTGGAAGCTCTGCAGGAGTGGGATTAGAGGAGGAAGGTTCAGGAACCTTCCTTCCGGTCAGTCCCGGAAGGTCAGGCCCCTCGGTTGACTGTGCTTTCCACCCACCCCCCTTCAACTTTGCCTGGGGAGGGGCAGGGCAGGGAAGGTGGCCCTCCTGGAACTTGGCTTACGGGGGAGCTGGAGGAGGGGCAGGAGGGGCGGGAGAGATTTGCTAGCCCGACAGTTCCCACTGGCACAGCCACCTCCCTCCTTTCTTCATTCCCCAGAGGGAGTGACAGGAAGGAAAGGCTGGAAAGAAGGCAAAGGGAATTAAGGAGGAAGGGGAAAGAGGGAGAGAAGTCTGGCCACAGCAGTGACAGAGTTCCCAGCGGGCTGCGGCCCTGGCTCCAGGTCCTGGAGGGGGGAGTGGGGGTGACCGCCCTCCAGGCCCTCGGGCTCCTCTGCCCACCGGGCAGGGGTTTGGCCCAGCTACTTCCTCCCCCACCTCCCTCCCAGATGCCTGCAGGGCCTTCAGCAGAGAAGGAAGGCAAGGAAGAGGGCCTGGGAGGACGGAGCTGGGCTGAAGGAGCAGAGCTCTGGAGCCGAAGACCCGGGTCCCAGCCTCATCTCTGCCACTTACTCTGCGACCCCGGGCGAGTCACATAACCCTTTGAACCTGTTTCCTCTTCTGTAAAGTGAGGATAATCATTACCTCAGAGTTACCACGAGAAGGGCATTCAGAAGGAGTAGTGATTGTAGTCCTTAGAGTCCTTCGGGGGCAGGGGAGGGGGCCGAGGGGAGAGCAGCTGGGAGAAGCCCCTCACCACCACAGGGTCCACGCTGCCCTGCCCGCCCCCCCTCAGCCTGGGCACTCTGGGCCACTCAGCCCTCCTTACTCCACTCCCTGCTAGCCCCCTCACCAAGGTGACACGGTGACAAAGACTGAAGCTGAGATGAGCACAGGAATGGGAGGCAAAGGGAGCGGGGGATCGGGTGGGAAAAAGCGGCGAAGGGGGTGGTGAGAAAGAGGGTCTAGCACCTAGCCCCGTGTCTGGCATGCAGTAGGCACGCCCCGGAGGATTCGTTGAGAGGAGAACTTGGGGGTGGGAAGTTGGCTGGACCAATCCATCAGGCAACCAGAGGAACATGTTGGACAGAGCCATCAATAGCACTGGGAGGCAGAAAGGGATGAAGACGTGGAACAAACACAGCTGGGGACCCCTGGGGGCTGGAGCCAGATGCCCTGAGGCTGCTCCCACCACCTCCCCAACCCCGTGCCCATCCTCCCACCCCAATCCCTTGGCCTAAGCAACCCCCCCCCCCAAGTCCTGCCGCTTCTCACAGCATCTCAGTCTCCACGGGCATCCTGGAGTCTCTGTGCAGGGTGACTGGCTCAGGCTGGTCCCAGCGGGCCTCCTCCTCCTCCTCCTTCCCTGGCTCCGGAAGCTTCTGCAGTTCCGAGTACAGCACATAGGCATCGTTGCGGGACACATACTCCCATCCGTTCTCCCGCACGTGGAAAAGGTCTACAGAACCCCCGGAGTAGGCATCGCGGTGGGTGGCATGGGCCACGGCGCAGCGAGCCAGGGCGTAGGCTTCCTGGGGGCTCATGTCGTAGCGGTAGCCACGGTCCAGCACGCCGTAGGCATAGGGAGATCCAGAGCCCACTGAGAAGATGT